GGTTGTCTGATGTCATTATACACGTACCAAATGTATTTGCTGTTAGCATGTTGGCTAAGATACCTCTAGATACCTTTTTATATCTATCTATAGATGCTATATATTAAAGAAATGAAGTATGCAGTGATTGGAGGGAGCAGTTGATAAGCTAGAGGGTAGGTCTGCCATTCAGAAGGACCTCAGCAAGGTGGAGGAAAGCACTGGTAGAAACCTTCTCAAGTTTAACGAAGACAAATGTGAAGACTTGCTCTGAAAAGGCACAGACCCATGCAGCTGTGCTGGCAGATAGGGACCTTTCCATCCTGGTGAGCAGTAAATGGACCATCAGTCAGCGGTGTGCCTGTGTAGCTGTGAAAAATGGCAGTGTATTGGACTATATTAGCAAGAGCGTAGCTGGCAAGTTGAGGGAAGAGATGATTACCCTGTATTTAGCAGTCATGAGGCTGAGTCTGGAGTGTTATGACCAATTTGGGGTCCTGCCAGTACAAGAAAGATATTACCAAAATGAAGCATGTGCAGCTAAAGGCAACTGGAATGAACTACATGGGGTTCAAGGGGAGTTTCTGCATTGGGTTTGTATTTAACACAAGAGTTAGAATGATCAATTGCTTTTACTTTGGCCAGTTACGTACTAGTTTTATCTAGCTTTGGCCCTTGCAGTTATTGAGCTGTATGTATCTTTGTAACTGCTTTTCAGTTCTCCTAATGCCTTTAAAGTTTAAAATGAAATGCAGCTGAAGAGGACAAAAGGAGGATCATCACAGTACCATTTGCTTGTTAGTTCACATTCAGTGTTCTCTGTCTCTCCAAGGCTGAATTGTTCTCTACTGGTAGTGGAGCATGGTAATGCTTCTTTATGTAATCTTCTGATACACAGCCAGTCTTGTGAAATTATACTGCAGTAAATGAAGGAAAATGTGAATGTAGTCATTCTTGAATATGTGCACTCAAATACTTTGATTTAGTTATAATTTGTGACTAGTCTTACATGTCAACTTTATACTATTGAACTGTAGTGGATGTTGTTTGAAAGGATGTCATCTGCAGTGAAGTCAAAGATATGCATTAAGGGGCTATTCTGCATAGAATATGTGCAAGTAGGAGAGCTGTGTCTTTCCAAGATTTGAAGAAAAGATGTTAGTAATATTATTGAAATTGTGATGGTGAGAATCTGTTACTTCCATTTTATGAATACAAATACATGAATGTATTAGAACTTTTAAAAAAAAAATCCCAAACTATGGGGAAATATTTTATTAATGGGCTTTGATTCTTTTGAATATTTTTTTTATATTGGGACATGTTAGTTGTAGAATTAACAGTAATTAAAGGTGCTATGGATAATTAACAATTGACTTCTCCAATTTTTTGTTTGTCAGCATCTAATTTATAATGACTGCTGATTCCAGCCTCATTACTTTCAGGAACTCAGTCTAAAAATGCAAACTAGAAAATGATGAATGAGTGAAAGACTAAAGGCAGGATGTGGCTTCGATGGCAGTTAGCTATTGTTTGAAGAATAGCTGGCATTGACCATTGCCACCTCTTATCCTGTAAGAGTAAACAGACCAAGCAGACACTTGTCTGTGGCCACAGAGTGCTTGGCGTTATGGTTAGCAGTGTGTAGTGGTTTAGTCCAGACGAAGTTAATTCCTTAGCATGTGTTTGCAGCTTGTGGCCTAAGAGTGACTGATTCTCTTTCTAGAGGAGAGTTTAGCTGTCATCTTTGCGTTTGGTTCCTGGGATTCTTGGAGTCCCATAGTACCTTAACCTGGAAGATAGTCTTTCAGTGCTCACTTAAGGAGAGTGCTTGGTTGGACACCAGAGAGTTCAGATTTTTCTTTGTTGTGTGCTGGGCTAGGTAACTGCTGACATTATCCTTATTTTGAAAAGGCTGCTAAGCCAGACCTTGAGTTTTCTTCCATCATCTCCTATATTCCACCTGCATTGCAGTTGTGCAGGAAGCTGTATCTAGCAAACTGAACTGTGTTTTAAGAGGGAGGGTGAAAGAGAAAAGGAACAGCAGAGGAGAGGAACCCATTCCTGAGAGTCCTCGTTATGGAGCATGAAGAGTATGGGAGACTGTTCACTTATAAAAGTGTCCTCCAGCCTTAAGCAGCTGTTCTGGTTTTGTGCATTGCCATGCAGCATTTGAACATCTCGGGAAGCCACAGATGTTTGATTCATGTACTGAGGCAGATTTGACCCTTATTCCTAATGCCAGAGCCTTCTGGCTAAGATTACCCTGATGCAAACCCTGCTCCTAGCTCCCACTTCGCTAAGGAGTAATGCTTTTGGTACGTCAGGTCTGGCACTTGGTCCTCAGTTGTTCTTCTATGATCACTTCCTCTGTTTATAGCTGGAGATTTGGTCTTGGCTGTGGACATGAGATTTACTCGGAATTATGACAATTTTCTGTGAACATTAAGTAATTCCTGACACAGATGTGTTAGAGAAATGCACCTTTTTATTCTGTGGCTTCAAGAAATATTAATTTAAGAAAAACAAGGATAGCATTAACACAGCACAGTTCAGATCAGCTGTTCTTAATGTATTCCATAACCCAGTGTTAAAACAATTTTTGTGACTAGATGGATACCTTCATGTTAATACATTATTAGATATATGTATCTATATTCTGATAGTCTGAGGTCATATTCTCTGTTCTGATGCTTGTAATCCAGTGTTGGTCTGATACTGTGAATATGTTTGCATGAAAACAACTTTTCTACTAGTTTTTATATGATGGAAACAGTGAAAGTAGCCAGTTCTATGCAAAGAAACAGGGAGTTGAAATAGGATTTGGCTGAACCTAACAGCCATTTGATCCATATCCAGCTGTAGGCCCCAGATGTGCCTTCCCTCCATCATGTGCCAGTGGTGGGAAATAGCCCAGAGAACCAGCTTGGTGCTTCAGGGGCCTGTGGCCATTCAAAGATGATCTGCAGCAAATCAGATGGTGGAGAGGCTGTGTGTCTCCCTTCTCCTGTGGTATCTCTTTTTGGTTTACTCTTTACATCTTTCTTGATGTGCCTCTCATCTTTTCAGTCTTTTGATGTTCTGTTGTTTCTTTTCTTTCAGTTGAGCTTATTCTCTCTTAAAATTTTCCCCCTGCCATACAGCTTTAATTACTGAGCAGATGTGGTGTTTTCATTTTGCCTGCCTTTATCTCTCTTCATCTTGAATCTTAGACTTTTTAGCTCATTAAGTCCTGTGGAGCTAGAACTCTTTGCTAGTTAAAGACACTAAAAAAAAATCTTATCAGATCTTACTGCAGTTTTGTAAACAAACTACTTAAGCATGCTTTCATGTTAATGCCAAAGAAACAAATAAAAATTGGTTGAACTGTGATTATAAACAAATGAATACAAAATTGCAGTATAAATATTGAGATACTTTTCCTTTGTTTTTTTCTGTATAATTCTCTCTGAAACAAGATTTAACTCTAGAGACTTAAATGAAAATTAATCATTTATGGAAGAAAATAAAGTAAGAGAAATTGTTGCCTGAAATCTTTCATGATCTGAAGCTAGAGAGGAGGCAGAAGCCAAAACGTAACTGTGCAGGAATGTGCTTAGATATAAAACCTAGGATGTAACTGTGGGAATGCCTTTAGATATAAAAAACTGGAATGCAACTATGTGTTAGTGAAATCTGCAAAAAAGCTGGGAATGTCATGCTCAGTGTTTGAGAACTGCAGGCAATTGGCAGTGTTTTTCAGAACTATTCTTGTAAAAACTGCTTTTCCCAAGTTTGGGGCCTGATCCAGTTTCTCTTTTTTGTTTTTGGGTTTGGTTTTTTTTTTGGTTTTTTGTTTTTGGCTTGAACTCATGTGAACTAGAAGAGAATTACCAAGAGACAGTAAAGCTATAGTTCTGTATAATCTCTTCTCAGTGGTAAAGCTGGCTCAAGAAAATTCTGTTCCAAATCATACTTCCCTGCCCATTTCACTTTTTCCAGGAAGAGTTTTTTTGTAGGAGCGAAGTGTATCTGATCCAATTTTCCAAAAAGCAGTACAGAAAACTTCCTATTATTTTTGTTTTTTCCCAAGGTGGACTACTACTGGTGAACAGTGTGGCTCCATGAACAGTTATGCTGGAATGACTGAAAGAATGAGGTGCCCTGTGATGGGAGCAAGGGATGGGAATACAGCTGTTCCCACCAGCCTCTGTGTAATGAGAAATCCCAGCCTCATTGAATAGATTTTTGTAGTGTAGCATCGTCAGAAATCAGTGCATTCAGCTCTCGAGGCAATAGCCTGACAAGAGAGCAATGTTAATGAACTCTCTGAACAAAACATCATCCTTTCTCAGTCTTCTCCTATTTTTTCAGGTAGCAATAAGCAAGGAAGGAGGTGTCAAAGGAAGCATCAGCCTAAAAAGTTATGCTTTGAAAAGCTTTATGAAAGCAGCTTTTACTGGCCTGTAACACTTGACTGGCCTGAAAGATGCAACCAGTCTAGACTAGAGGCAAAGAATATAAACAAGTGTGCCCTCTGAACTTACTGCTAAGTCAGTTGACTCACGGCAAATGCTATATTTTTCATAATCTCATTGCATGGTGGTTCATTAAATAGCTGTAGTTTTGCTGGTTTGAGCCAGGAGAGTTAACAAAAGAATTACTTACGAAATTTTGTTTCAGACTTTTAGTTTCTTTCCTTAGTTATTACCTTCAAATATATAGACTATTGGCCATACAACAGCAGAGGAAACCTATTTCAATGTGACAACCATTAAGATTAATAAAATTTCATTTTGAATCTTTATTACTAGGCTATATGTTTTATCAGTATTTGTTTGGTGATGTAGTTTTTCTTCTTGCTGTCAAATATTCTGCAATTCTTGTGGTTCTCTAAAATCTGTAATGTTTTATAGTTGAAATTTAAATTAAACTGTGATGGCAATGTATGGGTTGGTTTAATATGTGTCAGCCACTTCCCCCCAGTCCCAGAGTATTTTTGTGTAAAGTTTTACAAGAAAACATTTTTTTTAACCATGCAGGGCAGCTTTAGAAGAAGTAGAAGGAGATGTGACAGAACTGGAACTGAAACTTGACAAGGTAAGCTTTTCCATTCAACAATGTCTGTTCTGAAAAATATAAAAACATGTGTTTAGGTTTTGTTTTAAAGTTCACAGCTGTGACGCGGCAGTGGCCGCTGACCAAGAGCTCTGCTCTTGCAGAGGGAAGGGATCTGGGTCGAGTGTACGGCTGGGCCCCAGGGACTCAAGATGAGTAACAGCAGCAACAGCCAGTGTGAACTCCCTTTCTCCCTCAGCTGAGGATTTGGATTGTGCAATACCCTCCTGCCCCTGTGGCCCCTCACACTCATGTGACTTAGCCCCACAGTGGGAGCCACATGCAAACTAATTCAGCTTTCATGTGAGTCAAAAGCCAGGGGTTGACCATCCCTGCGTTGAGAGCTTATGTTTTATGACAGCTGCATACTGTGAGCACATCTGGATACTCTTTGTTTCAGAGATTTAAAGTCAGTGCTGTCTGTCTTTGGTAGTCTGCGGCACAGTCACAGCAGGATTGGTATATATATCCTTCGCTTTTGTCTGGAGAACTTAACTGCTGTAAAATTCATTCTGCTTTTTGTCATGCTTTGTGCATCTATATGAAAGGTTACATATAGCATCTTTTCAGTGCCTTACAATCCATTTATTAGTTTCCTAACCAGTAGTATTTGGAGGCTTTTGTTTGTTCTTTGCTAGTATTTTGTGGGTAGCTTATTTTTGTTCTATGTCTGTAGAAAGTCTCCTTCCCTTAGCATTTTATGCTGAATATATGAAATTATTTTTTGCCTGTGTTTTTAATGTGGTAGGCAGATGTCATTTGTTCACCTCCTCAGCTACTTTTTGAATATGAACTTTTGTTCCTGCAGCTATGAGTTGGCCAAAGAAAGACAAATAAAGTCAGTGTCACGTGTAAAGTCTGAAGACTTTTTGTTACTTCTTGTAAAAATATTTCTAGCTTTTGTAGTTAATATTATAACCATTTGCTATTTCAAAGTAAACTTAACATACATATTTAACTTTGATTTTGGTGTGAACTTTGGTGAAACTGATGGGTATAAGACATGTTTTTACTGTAGGGGGGATGAGTCTGTTTTGGTAGATTAAACCATGTAAGTATTTAAAAGATCTGAAAAATATGTCTTGGAAGTTTATATTTTCTGCCAGTCTAAAAGGCATTTTTAGGGAAAAGAATTCTCAAATTCCTTAATGGACATTATTCAGGGCCTTTCTTCCAGCCTCTTGCAGGAGGCCAGTACGAAATATGCCACTATATCATGTAAAAGCTATAATTGTAGTATTACTCTTTGCCCTGAGACCCTATCCTAGTATTCTTTAAAAAGAACAAAAACACCCAAACCTGTTTGCTCCCCTGACAAGAAAGGAAGCACACAAGGTAAGTATTGAAGTAGTTTAATTGTAACGTGAAGTATAAGCAATCTAGTGTAACGAAAGCCAAGCTTCTTGTGTGAGCTGAAGTAACTATGGCCTGAGGGTAATGATTTGTCTAGACTTGGTTGGTAACTTTTTATGCTCAGTTATTCATACTAAACTTAGTTTTATTGTCCCACAGCTGTGACTTTGGGCTATGTTATCTGCAAATTTTTTTCCCCTCTAGAAGAAAGGACACTGGGTTCAAGATTGTGAAGGAGAAAAAGGATCATGTTGGTAGTGATTTTTCTGTGCATTATTCAAGCAACTTGGCCATTCATCAGAATGTGGGAGATGATGCTCAGATTTCTTCTTTTCCTAAGAGGATCTGAGTCAAGATAAAAATTACTAGGTAAATAAGACAGGAAGGTCACTCGAGTGGAACATAGGATCAAGTACTTCTGTGTTTTTCTTCATGAAAAATCCTTCAGAAAGGTTTAATCTTCTGATTTTATTCTCAGTTTGATTTAGACTGGAGGAATTCAATTATAATATGCTTTCTCACAAGAGAGCATCTTAGTGGTCGCAGTAGTCATTCTTTCATTAATGGCCCAGAGCATAAATGGTTCAAAAAGTGGGGAGACATCCATCGCAAGATGCTGATGGCCTTCATGTCAGACTCTGTAGTCCGTGATAGCTAAGGTGCTGACCTAAGCAGTGAGTGGTAGGGATGGAAACCCATCAGAGAAAGGCTAGTCTCTTGTATGAGTGAAAACATGATTGATTTCCCCTTCTGAGGTGTAACCATCTCTCTTCAGTTGTGTTTTGTGCAGATAGCCTTTTGCTTTGTGCCTGTATTCTGAGTGTCTCAAGATGAAACAACTGGTGCAGGTTTCTTTTGATTGTTTGGGGTTGTTTGTTGGTTTGGGTTTTTTTTGCTCAGAAACCACAAAGCACTTGCTTGGGTTCTAACCAGTTACATTTTAGCTGCTGCACTCTTTGCCCTCCTACAGCTCTCTCTTGCAATATTTGCAAAATCTCAGTTAACAATAAAAGAAATAAAAAAATAATAAAAAAAAATTTATAAAGACTAGTAACCTTCTCTATGGTTTGTCAGTTGAGTTAGAGTAGTATTTTTATAGCTATCACTATGCAACAGAAGGCTTTTCATAGAATGTGGGGCTCTGTAAATTTAGAATTTACCTTTTGAAATCTTTGTTTCAATGTTTCATGTTTATATGGTGGTGTAAAAAACAACACAAAAAAACTTCCACTTTGTAATTTTTTCTCTTTTTAGCTGGTGAAGCTTTGTATTGCGATGATTGATACTGGGAAAGCATTCTGTACAGCCAACAAGCAGTTCATGAATGGCATTCGAGACCTTGCACAGTATTCCTGTAAAGATGCATTGGTTGAGGTAAGTTCTCTAAAAGGTCAGAATGGAAGGAGAAAAGCATAACTTAAAAAGGGTAAAATACAACATTAGGCAAGACAAGAAGTTGAAGTTTGTACTACTGTCTCCCTTTTTGCTCCTTTTTCTTTGAGATGTCTTAAGAGTGAGCTTTTTTTTCATTGTGGTACACTGCAAGTGTCTGCTGTTTAGTTTCAGCTTTAACCTGCAATGGCAAAGATTTTCCAAATTCCAGAAAATGTGTTAGGTTAGGAATAGTCATCTTGGGAGGAGTGGAGAAAGTCAGGTTGAAGCTGTGAATAGCTGCCCTGTTTACTTTGCTAAATAAAGGGGTTCTAGTCATGAGGTCCTAAGAGCCAGTTGTTTGCAACTAAATTCCCTGAGTTGACCTCTTGGGTCCTGGAACTGGTGTACTCTAATATATAGAAATCAAAATTTTTTAATGTACAGAGCCCACTTTGATGGTGTAACCTCAGACTGATGTCTTGTTAGGCTAATTTGGAACACCTAATATTTCCTGTCTATGTTACTTTGAAATGAGGTATGAAATCGTGTAATATGCAGGTGTAATTATGGGCACATCTTTGTGTATATCATCTGTCTTTAATGTGTGTTATGTAATAGAACTTCAGTTGAATATATGCATCTTCACACGCTAATGCCTGTGAACTTGAGTATAGTCTGTGTGCAACTGAAACTATTGTCTGGAAATTTACTTCCTAGAAATGTAGTGCCATGGCAAATTAGTAAAACTTACGTTATTTGATTCCAAGTAGGTTTGTTACACTTGTTGTGTAAACAATAAGCAGTTATCCAAATATATTTGTTTTCTGTGTTTGAGACATTGATTCTACAGATTGTTGCTAAGCTATCAGCTGTGAGGCAGTAGTTCCTATAATAACTATGTGTGCACTGATGATTACAGCATGTAAACAGTTTTTTGGAGTTAGAGTATTAAACATTAATAAATATTTAGTATAATATTAAATATTGTAAATTAATGTGTTAAATTATGTGAACTTCCCATAGTTTAGTCAACTTAATTTGAATTTTTTCTGCTTTGCTTCAGTTAGGTCCTTTATATGTAGGTAGCAGTAACATTTTTGTTGCTTTAATAGATTTACTTGACATTACCCTCATCTTGTCCTTCTAGCATAATGGTTTTAATTTAATAATCAAGCAGAGGAAAATCAATTCCCAAGTTCTTTACTGAAAAGCTGTAAACCTCTGAAATGTTGCTTTTTTGCTGTGTAGGGCTTAACTTAAACCATTTTGTTTTTCTCTTACAGACCAGCTTGACAAAGT